TGGAGGGACTGTTCATTATATCCCTAGTCAGACCAGGGGAGGTGCAGATCTGAAGAGCCATTTCTGGACTGGGAAAGGTTACGGCTGTGTCAGTGGGCTGTTTCTGGGTGGGGGGTTTTGGCACCGCATTTGGGATTTAAGACAAGAATGGGTACAATGGGCTTTGGCGAGGATCTCTGCATTAGCTCGCTATCTCTGGAAATATTCGGCCTAGCGGACTCCTGACGTGATTCACCCGCCTGCAAGCGAGGGTCCTCCGGCAGAGCGACGGAGACACCCACCTCTTGAGTGACGTGAACCTGCTGAAGTCCTTGAACCGCGAGCTGTTGCACCGCGCCGGCTTTGGGGGTCGAGGGGGCCGTCTGCACGACGGATCTCTGTGGGACGAAACAAACCAGATTCCGTTAGAAGAAGAAGAGATTGAATTTATACCCCACCACCCTTCACTTGGAGTCTCAGAGCGGCTGACAAACTCCTTTCCCTTCCCCTCCCCACCACAGACCCCCTGTGAGGTAAAAGAAGAAGAAGAAGAAGAGATTGGATTTATACCCCGCCCTTCACTTGGGAGTCTCAGAGCGGCTTACAAACTCCTTTCCCTTCCCCTACCCACAACAGACACCCTGTGAGGTGGGTGGGGCTGAGAGAACTCAGACACAAACTGCTCTTTCAGGAACAGCTGTGCCAGAGCTTGCGACTGACCCAAGGTCACATCAGCAGCTGCAAGTGGAGGAGTGGGGGATCAAACCCGGTTCTCCCAGATTAGAGTCCGCACACTTAACCACTACACCAAACTGGCCTTTAGAGAGGAAAGGGGGTAGAATCTGCCGGGGGGGGGGCAAAAGGGCCCCTTGCCCCAAGGACACCTCTGGCCCGGCATGAAAAGGGGAGCAAGGAAACACAGGGCCAAACGTTGCATTCCGTTGTGTTTTTTAAGCCCTTTGTGATCTTCGTCGCAGTACTCTGGGGATCCCTGACCTTTCTGAGCTGGTGGGCACATCTGAAATTCTGACTGGGATGGGCGCAGCCTCAAAATGGCTCTAATAGTTCAGATTGCTTCCTAATGTTTCTATTAAGCTTACGCCAAGTCTGTTATCTCTATACTGAAAACATAGATTCGGAAGTGTGATGAGTAATGTATTGTGATTCTTTGAACATGTTATATAACGTTGTACATACTCAGGAACTATTTACAGGATGTGAATGTAATTGGAAGATTAATTGTTCACTGTTTGAAATGTTAGAACTGTTAAAAATTGTAAATAAATGTAAAAATTTTTTTAAAAAATGGCTGCCTCAGCTTACCGTTCATCACACCGCGAAGATTCTCGTGCCCCCACTCATACAAAAAAAAATTGGCTTGACATCCTCCTACAAATGAAATCCAGCCCCAGAACCCAGCGTATCTAAACTTAATCTACCTCTAACAAAATTACTTACACTCTGACTTATCCTTGCGTGATCATTAACTCACACAGTGCGTGGAAGCGGAATGCTCAGTGGCGCTATACAAGATCGCAGTTCGACTCCCTCCCATACAAGGGACCTCTCACTACATGGTTAAGTACAGTGATCTCGTTTTTATTTCCCATTGTAATTTTAAGTTTATCCCGTCTCCTTCACCAAGCTGACTGAACGGTTTCATATATATTTTGTGATATATATATATGTGTGTGTGTGTGTGTGATTCTATCACGAGCTGTGTTTGTTGAAAATATTTGAAATTTTTTGGTAAAAATATATTTTAAAAACACCTGCATAGCCAATCGGATACCCAGTGGCCAATCAGAAGCTTTGCTTGGCAAAGCCCTGCCTGGCCCCGCCCACTTTCTGAAAACACCTGACAGGTGCTAGGAGAGGTGTCAGCAGGTGCCTTGGCGTACACAGGCACCACGTCGGGGACCGCTGCTCTGGGCAGACCTGAGCAGGAGCAAGTGCCTAGAGATATGGAGGCCCAGGGAACAAATGGAAAAAAAGGTTAGGGACACTCGGGGGGGGGGGGGAACACCTATGACCGATTTCCCACAAGCAGCTGCGCCGCCCTCAGTCTTCCCTTTTCCCCAATCGTATGCGTCAATTTCCCACTACTTTCTGCGCAGCCACATTTTGACCCGCAGCATCCCCCAAATTATCCCGCGTCTTCTTGATCTCAAAAAACAAGGATCGAGAAGATGCGGGGGGGATCGGGGGATGCTGCGGGTCAAAATGTGGCCGCGCAGCAAGTAGTGGGGACGCATACAATCGGGGGAAAGGGAAGACTGAGGGTGGCGCAGCTGCTTGTGGGAAATCGGTCTATGTTTCTCTTTTGGAATGAGTGAAATGCTTCTTAAGACAAGGTGTTATTAACTTATAACACACAGCATTAAGATTTCATGTGAGACAGGCTACAAAAACAGATGATCATAACAGTTCCTAGGTATACTTGTAGACATATACATTTCCAGAGATATGCTGATTGTTTACATGTGAATAGTTCTGGCAATCAGTTGAGGTGATGTGGTATCTGTTTTCCCCGTGGCTTCAAAAATGTTCCCTCTAAGTGCCCCGATGGGAAATGAGTCAGTGAAAGCAAAACCTTGACTGGCCCACAGCCGCCAAGATCAAACTTTTAAAAACAGTGTTCCCTCTACGCTAAGTGAGTGTGAGCTAGCTCACAGTTTTTTACCCTCCAGCTCACCGATTTCTGTCTTAGTTCAGGAAGGACGGCTCCAGAGCAAACTAATTTATGCAGCGGCCAAATAGCTCGCTCACAACTTTAATGCCAGTAGCTCACAAAGGAGAATTTTTACTCACAAGACTCCACAGCTTAGAGGGAACATTGTTTAAAAATGCTTTGACTTAAAGGGATATTTATTTAATAGATTTCTTCACCGCTGTTCCTAAAAAAGCTCAAAGTCGTTCGCGCACGAGAAATGACTTGAAGGGATATTTATTTAATAGATTTCTTCACCGCTGTTCCTAAAAAAGCTCAAAGTCGTTTGCGCAAAACAAAGCTCAGATAACAACCGCATGAAAATTAACATTTAAAATCCCCAAATGGAAAGTCGCCAGGTCTGGGTTGGAAAATACCTGGAGACTTTGGGGGTAGAGCCAGGAGAGGGTGGGGTTTGGGGAGGGGAGGGGCCTCAGCATGGTCCAATGCCGTAGAGTCCACCCTTCAAAGCAGCCATCTTCTCCAGGGGAGCTGTTCTCTGTCAGCAGGAGATCAAGTGTAAAAGCAGGAGATCTCCAGGCCCCACCTGGAGGCTGGCAACCATGCCCAAACATGTGTTGCATGTTGAGTGCCCTCGAGTCGCTGCCAACGTATGGCAACCCTGTGAATTAATGTCCTCCAAAATGTCCTGTCCTTAACAGCGTTGCTCAGGTCTTGCGAAAGGTTTGCCGGCTCCGAGTTGAGAAATACCTGGAGATTTGGGGGGTGGAGCCTGAGTGGGGTGGGGTTTCGGGAGGGGAGGGACTTCAGTGGTTATAATGCCATAGAGTCCACCGTCCAGAGCAGCCATTTCCTCCAGGTGAACTGGTCTCTATCAACTGGAGGTCAGTAGTAATTCCAGGAAATCTCCAGCTACCCCCTGGAGGTTGGCAATTCAGGAGGAGGACCAGAAGGCCTGCACAGGTTCATTTGGGGGAACTAAAAAGAGTCCAAGCTAATAGCATAAATAAAGTATAATAAATAGTGCAAAATGATGGCCTGTTTTTTGTTTTTTTAAATCACGAGAAATGACCATTTCACAAAGATCGCGAACACACAAATATTCGGCACGGGCATTCAAAATGTATTAAAAAGGAAAGCAATTAATTTTAAACACTGAGGCTGAGCCCCCTCCGTGCGCCTCAGCTGGAGAATATCTGGCTTCTGAAAGTCGGCAATGCAAAAAAGAATTACCGCTGTTCGGCAGTCGAAAAAGGGGTTTCGCAGGCACGCAAACGTGTTCTTACTTGGTGTGAAAAAGCAGAAGTAGATAAAAGAAAGAGATCAGCCTGGAGGGTTGTGGCGTGAAACCACAGCTCAGCAGGGTGTGAGAAAGAGAAACAGCTACGGGCTGGAGTGAAACAAATCCGACAGTGTGACACACCCTCTGCAGAACAAAGAAGTACTGGGGGGGGGTCCCCCAACGTGGTGCTTGTGGGCGCTGTGATACCCACTAACACCTTTCCTGGCCCCATTATATCCTATGGGCCATTGAAGTCAATGGTGAAAAACATAGGGTATATTCTGGGGGCTGGAGGGGAGAGGGTTTGAGGGAGAGGCTCTCCCCAAGATACCCACCAAGTTTCAAGAACGTTGAACCAGAGGGTCCAATTCTATGGGTCCCCAAACAGGTTGCCCCCTCCATTGTTCTCTATGGTGGGGTGGGGGAAGGGACTTCAACGGCCCATAGGATCTAATGGGGCCGAATTGCCACCAAAATTCGGCGGCAATTAGGCGGCAAGCCGATTCAGATCAGAGAATCTGAATCGGCCCGCAGCAGCCCGAAAGGGGAACCGAATGGGCCGTTTTCGGGGGTGCATTCTGTTCAGACGAACCGAATGCACATCCATAGTACCAAGTTCTGCCCGCAATAAGACTCACAAAAGCTCACACCCTGCCACAAATTTTGGTAGTCTTTAAGGTGCTACCGGACTCCTGGCTCTCTTCTGCAATGAGTTTAAAAATACAAGGGAATGCAATAACGTGATCTTGGAAACACCAAGCAAACAACAGTCTGAGAATCTGGCATGACCCCCTTGACGTGTTCCAGCTCTTGCCACCCTAAAACCCGGGCTGGGCAGTGACCCCCCCCCGAACTTTCCCGGAAGTAAACATACAATACCTCTTGAGCAACAGGCACTTGCTGGACTCCGTGGACCTGGAGCTGCTGCACTGGTCCTGGTTTGGCTGAAGAGCTGTTGTTCTGCACAGGAGAGCGCTGAAAGGCAAGCAGGGAGAGGTTACAGAGGAGCAAGGTGCAGCAGGCAGCTGCCTTGCAAATCCTTGCTCCCTCCCTCTTGGCCTGATATCGGGTCCCTCCCTCCCTTCGACAGTGCCTCAACACTTAAGAGAGGTTTACAAAACGATGCATGGGATAGAGAAGGCACAGAGAGGTACTTTTCTCACAATTCCAGAACTCGTGGGCACTCAAAGAAAATGATGAGCAGAGATCAAAGAAAGCCTCACTGCTGGACCTCCTGAGGGCACCTGATATTTTTGGCAACTGTGTGACAGAGTGTTGGCCTGATTGGCCTGATCCAACATTGGCTTCTCTTATGATCTTATGTTCTTAAAGCACTTCTTCATCAAACACATGGGACTCACTGCCACAGGTAGTGGCTAAAAGCATAGACAGCTTCCAGAGGAGATTGGATAAGCATAAGAAGCAGCGGTCCATCAGTGGCTGTTAGCCACAAGGTATAGATGGAACGCTCTGTCTGGGGCATTGATGCCCTGAATTCTTGATGCTGTGGGGGGCAACGGTGGAAAGCCTTCTCGAGTTTTGGCCCCACTGGAGGACCTCCTGATGGCCCCATGGTTTTGCCCACTGTGTGACACACAGTGTTGGACTGGAGGGGCCATTGGCCTTATCCAACATGGCTTCTCTTATGTTCTTATGTCTAGGGCAGTGATGCTCTGTCTTCTTGGTGCTTGGGGGGCAACACTAGGAGGGCTTCTGCAGTTCTGGACAGGATGGGCCACTGGCCTGGCAACCCTACTGATCCAACACGGCTTCTCTTATGTTCTTTGTTCTTGGTGTCTGGGGGGCAAGAGTGGGAGGGCTTCTGGCCCTGCTGGTGGACCTCCTGATAGCCTCTGGGTTTCAGCCACTGTGTGACACGGAGTGTTGAATTGGATGGGCCATTGTCCTGATACAGCATGGCCTCTCTTCCCCCCCAAGAACAGAGTATTTCAATACTTAGTTATGTAAATGGATCTGGCCCTAAAGTAAGAACAAAAGGTTTATCATCTCATACATTGATGGAATGTCAGAAGAAAAAGATGAGGAGGAGGAGGAGAGGAAGAAGAAGAAGAGGAGGAGGAGGAGGAGTTGATTTCTATACCCTGCTTTTCACTACCCGAAGAAGAGTTGGATTTGGATTTATACCCCGCCCCTCACTTGGAGTCTCAGAGCAACTTACAATCTCCTTCCCTTCCTCTCTGCACAACAAATACCTTGTGAGGTAGGTGGGGCTGAGAGAGCTCTGAGAGAACTGCGACTGACCCAAGAGCACCAGCTGGCTGCAAGTGGAGGAGTGGGGAATCAAACCCAGTTCTCCAGATTAGAGTCTGTCGCTCTTAACCACTACACCAAACTGGCTCTTGAGGGACAGAGCCTGCGGCAGCCAAACAGCTTGATAGTAATTTCTTCCTCTTGGGGCAGGGAGATCAAGGATTGACTCTCAAAGGGGAGGTTATAAATTATCAGGACATGAGGAAGACGCTTTCTCTTATCTTTCAGCTTTTAGCTGGGGAGGCACAAGCTATGAAGGACTTAACTTTTGCCGAGGAACTTGCATCGAGGGACAATGGGAAGAAGTCCAAACTTTGAGAACTAAAATAATGATGGAGTTTTAAATGATGCAACTTCAAGATTGATCAGGCTATCCTACAAACAACAGTCAGGATAAATAGGGAGTTTACAGGACTGCATGTTTTCACCTTTTCTTTGTACCCCTGCTCAGCCTGATGCTTGAAGACCAGGTGTGTACTCTTTTTATTTTTTGCCTGATACTTTCTTATACTTTGAATGCTCAGAGCCTGATCTCTGTATACACACCACGTCTATTCACTCTTGCTATCAAAAGAGCAATAAAGGGGAGGGGACAGCAATTCAGTGTGCCATCCCTAAAGCTGGGCAGGATGATGAATCAGTGTGAAGCACCAGAACACAGTTCTTGGGACTAATGGTTGGATGGAACATCTAAAGCATGCTTTCCTCAAAGCTGCTGCACCTGAACTTTTTGCCACCCACCTCAGGTGAAGAGTGGACTTGCTGCACGCCGTGGACAGCCAGGGTGACTGATCCTCCTTTACTAGCTTGCGAAGTACTCTGCACCACCAGCCGCTAGAACAGGATGACACAAGAGAAGCAAGCGTGGTTAATCACTATACGTCTTGCCAAACTGGGCCCAGATGGACAGGCTCGGATGAAACCTAAACTGGCTGATGGATTACAAAGAGTCCGCTCCCAAGCCACATGTTGCTTGTTCTTACCACAAAATGGATATGATACAAATCGTTTTTCATTAGCCACTCTTCATGTAAACATTAATGTCTGCCACAACTGCCTCCATGCAAGTCTGGCACCAGATAGCATGCAAGTTTAAGGCATTTCACTGGACCGTTTTGTAAATCACTCGGGCAGCTGTAAAACCATTTAGAGATCTTGCAAGCAAGCAATCAGATAACTAAAACTGCTGTGCTGGTGCGTGAAGTCAAGCTGAAATCCACAGACAATTCTCACGTATGGGCTTTGTAGAAATGAACAAGAGCCTCTCGGTGCTGGCCCCTTCTTACAGGACGGCCTGTCCGAGAAGGTCTGGAAGGTCCTGACTTTCCACAAACTATGCAACACTCAATCATCCAGGAGGCCCTTTTTTACACAGGTAATAGAGTTCAGAACAGTTCAGAAAGATCGCTTGGAACTGAGGACTATAACACGTGACCAGGTCATATCTTCCACTGCTTTTCTGCTATTTTTCTTACATGCCCAGGGAAATGCTGATTGCCACTTTGGGGTCAGGAAGCAATTGTTCTCCAGGCCAGTTTGGCCGGGGATCCTGGAGGGTTCCCCCCCACTCTGGGCATAGAACAAGGGTCATGGGGGGGTATTTGTAAATTTCCTGCATTGTGCAGGGGGTTGGACTAGATGACCCTGGAGGTCCCTTGCAACTCTGTGATTCTGTGAATCTAAGTATGATCCTGCTGTGTCAAGCCTCTTATTGGCATATAAATAAAGATACAGTGATCTAAATACAAAATCATGCAGAGTAAAATTAAAATTGCAAAGCAACATCAGAGAGTAACATCATAATAAAACCTAATTCGAAGTATCACTTATCAGGCCGTAGGACCGTGGCACTGCAAAGAAACTTTGCTACTATTTCAGTCATTTCTGTATCTGGATTATCGAGCAAGAAAAGGAGCTCAAAATCATCAGGGGTCTCTAAAAATTGGCCCAGTATGGGATATAGACGATCCCGACGGGACGCCAAATAGAGAGGGTGCTGGAGGAGGAATCCTTCTGTGTAATGTCTGCATTGTTCAATGTGCTGTGTTCAAAGGCTTACGCGTCGTCTCAGATTTCTGCTTGTTTTCAGATTTCTTCAGCCCAAACCCTATTGAAGTGCTCACTGGCTGTCCCATCCTGTTGACTATACTGACTCACTCCGTGTCTCACTAAGAAAGACGGACTACGAATAATGTGAATGAATGAATGAGTGAATATACTGAGTTGATTGTCAACTGTCAGGCCCTGAAACACTAACGAAAAGCCCATTCGTGAATCCTCTTTCAGAGGACGTTTCAGAGGGTAACGGTGTCGGTTTGCGGTAGAAGAACAAGATTTGAGAGTACGGCAGCACCTTGGAGACTGAAAAGATTTTCGAGAGTCAGAGCAATCTTCACCTGCCCTGACCTGGATAGGCCAGGTAAGCCCAATCTCATCAGAGCTTGGAAGCTAAGCAGGGCCGACCCTGGCAAGCATTTGGATGGGAGACCTCCAAGGAATACCAGGGACGGGAGGCAGAGGCAGGCACTAGCAAGCCACCTCTCTGAAGCATCTGAGCCCCCACTTGGGGTCGCCAGAAGTCAAACGTGACTTCCAGGCACACACACACGCGCAAAAAAAAAATCACCCCCCCTCCCCAGAAAGCTCTCTTTGGCTGCGATTACGCACACTAAATGATCCACTTTCAGTGCACTTTCCAACTGGATTCTACTGTTGTGAACTGGCAAAATCCAGTTTGAAAGTGTAGTGTGTGTGATCGCGGCCCTTGTCAGAAAGCTCTTGAAAGCTTATGCCCTGAAAATCCTGTTGGTCTCCAAGATGCCACCAGAACTTGGCTCTTCAGTGGAAGTTCCCCTAAGCTCTTGATCGCCAGCTCACCCTGTCTAATGCATCATAGAATCATAGCATGTTAAGAGTTGGAAGGGACCTTGCAGGTCATCTAGTCCAACCCCCTGCACTCTGCAGGAGCACAGCCGAAAGATAGCCCTACAACATACCCGAAAGCGGGTCGTCCAGCCTCCGCTTGGAAACGTCCAGCGAAGGAGCATCCACCACCTCCCGAGGCAGTCCGTTCCACTGCTCAACCACTCTGACAGTCAGGAAGTTTCTCCTGATATTTAGCCGGTGTCGACTCCCTGGTAATTTCCACCCGTTAGATCTACTCTTGCAATCCGGAGCAAGAGAGAATAGATCTGCTCCGTCTTCTACATGACAGCCCTTCAGATACTTGAAGACTGCAATCAAGTCCCCTCTAAGCCTTCTCATCTTTGATTGTCAACTGTCAGGAATATTTTAAAACTCAGTTTCACCTGCTTCAGGACACAGAGCCAGCAGGTAGACAAAAATAACAACAAAATCTATGGTTCTACAATTATATCCCATCACGATCATCAGTGCACAACTACGTGATTGAACCTTTTGAGAGCTTAGACAAAATATGTGTTTTTAAAGGACATGCCTTGTCTCCTTTACAATGCTGACAGCAGAGTCGGGACAAAACTGAGTGGAGGCTAAAGGGTTAACCCCATCCACCTATCCTGCACGGGCCTGAGGCATATTGAGGCAGATCCTTTCAGTTTACATTTTATGG